ATAGCACCAGCATCAGTAGCAAGACAATTCAAAGTGCTGTACATGAAAACAAGAAGCCTAACAAATAGAAACACATTAATTGCGGTGTTATAAATGTACTTTATATAACATCCCATAAAAAGAGTAATTAAAGTAAGTAAACATGGATAATAACATTAATAATAACAAAATGAAAGAAAAAAAAAAAACAGTTGGACTGCAAACTTTATTAATAATGTTTAGTTATCCCAGTCAAAGGCAAATGTTAGCAATTAGATTTTTATTTTTGTTCTGGATTAACAGCAAACTAGGGTTTCAGAGCTTTTACAGTTTTCTGGCAATTTGTTCCAGATTAGTGGATCCTAAGATTGTAAAGCTGCTTCTATGTGTTTGCTTCTGGTTCTGCAAAGTAGACCTGATCCAGTAGACCTGAGAGCTAAGCTATTCTGGGACCTATAGACTAACAGATGGATTTTAAAGTCTGTTCTCTGAGATACGCGAGCCAGTGGAAGGACTTTGGATCTAGGGTGATGTTTTTCATTTCCTTTGTTCTAGTGAGGATGCAGGCAGCAGCATCTGAATCAGCTGAAGCTGTCTGATCCACTTTTAAAAAAATAAAAACAATAAATTATTCTAGTAAGAACTAAGTTTTGTATATCTAGACAACTTTACACATTTTAATTGGCCATTCTGACAATGATCAGCTTGACTGAATATGTATTTATGATATCTGAAATACATTTCTTCATAGCCAAAATAACACTAATGCTTACCACTAACAATAGGAATATGGAGATCGAAAATTAATTTCTAGTCATCCAGAATGTTTAATCTAGATCTGAAGAATCTCACTTAGTTTGAAATGGTCATTTTGATATCAGGAATACATATTCAGTAAAACTCATACATATAAAAATAGCTTTCCATAGCCTGTTGTGAGCACGATAACCTTATGAATTCATTCTTGAATTCTTGAATGGTAATGGATCAATGCATCTATTTACAGAATTAATTAATCTATTTATGTGTAACCTTAAAGTCATTTCAGTAGTTCTTCATGTACTGTAGAAAAATCCATAAAAATAAATTGATCCGCATGTTGCTCAAAATACCTAAACAGATTATGGTTAAATCTCATATTCAGTCAACTGAGTTGTAAGATCCTCTCCCTATAAATATCTAAATCTCGGTGAAAGTGTCAATAAATATTTGATAAGATCCTTGTCAAACAGAAATGCAATGTTTGTTTTTAAAGCCTAATGTATCTAACAGACCTAGTAAATTAATTTTTTTTTATCCCCAAAACAACGACAAATCTGTTGTTTCATTTCCTGAATTAGGAAATAAAACAAAATGATTGGCTGTAAAAGAGCGGAGACAGAGGACACTTCACAGCTGTGGGGAGAATATTACTACTGTGACAGAAACAGAGGTTGAGGAAACTGTCTTTGTGAAACTGAAAACACAGAGTTTCCCTGATGTCAGGTTTAGAAAACTTAGAGTTTTCAGTAAACCTGCTTTGTGAAACGGATCCCTCACGCTCCAATAAATGCTGTGATTAACAGCATCAAATGCTGCACTGAGGTCCAATAATCCCAGAACCGTGGTTCCTCCCAAGTCTGCATTTATATGGATGCCATTGACAAAGACAGTCTCTGTTCTGTGGTGAGGAGGGAAGCATGACTAGAATAAGTTGAAACAGATGGTCGTTGTTTAGAAGGTGTTTAGCTGCTAAAGCAGAGCTTTTCCAATAATCTCACTGATGAAGGTGAGGTTTGAGATGGGCCTCTACTTCTGCAGTAGCAGCTTGTTCAAGTTCCTTTTTTTTTTCAGCAGCGGTTTTATAGTTGCTGTTTTTAGGGTCTGGGGGAAATCACCTGATAGAAGGAACGTGTTCTTTGTTAGAGTTAAATCAGATGATGACAGGCAGACCTTTCTTAGGGAAAGGTGTGGGTAAAACATGCAGGCAGCACAGCGGAAGAGCTCAGTTAAATTATTCCTTCTAGGTTTTTGTAGTTTATTTGGTGAAATTGAAATCTTCTATTTAAAGAAAACTTTGGTGCTGGACTTGACATGGATGTACAGACTATCCTTTTGATCTTTGGGGTCGTTTTCAGTGAAGAAGTTCGCAAATTTATTGCAGGCCCTGGTAGACTGGAGTTCGAATGCTACAGTCACTGTATGGCTTGTTTGGCAAATGAGGCACAAGCAGGACCTAATCTAGCCTTCATGGGAGGTGATGAGAAAAGAATGAGAGACCATAAAGTGTTTGGTTGAAATAACAAACACTGTAGAAGGGTAGAACAGAGGTAGAATGAAGTAGAATGATGTAAAGTCCTCTCTATGTCCTCCAGCAGTCGAAGCCCATAGCAGGATAATATAGAAAATAGTTTAAGAGAACTTTGGATGAGTTATGAGAAAGGTGACACCCTTACACGGGATTAAATGGCCGATTGGACAAAAACTGTGTCATTTATACACGACAGAATTTTCTGATTAGCCAACTGCATTTTTCATTGGTCTATATTTATACTTTTAGCTAACTCCTGTTCCATCTTAGTTTCCCAAAACATATGAAGGTTAGGACATTAGACTGTGTTGGACAAAGTAGACGTAATGAAATGTATTTTTGTAAAACTCTGGAGGGCTGTGTCTTCTTTCACGCAAATCGATAGTAGGAAACCATATAGCTCTTAGCAGAAGCTAAGAATCTAAGGAGGTCCTTATGCTATCTGAATTGCCACAAGGATGCATCCTGCCTCCTAGTCCTAGCTACTTCATTACAAATTCTAACTGGTTGTCATGAAAGCGGGTTATGAGGGTGCGGCAGTAAAGGGGACGGGGATGTGAAAAGTCCAAACAGCTTGTTTAGAAGAGTGCTGAATGAAGAGTTTTACCAAAACGGCAAAAAACATGCTCTGGGGGCTCATTGTTAAAAATGTTTTAGTCGGGTCGACAGTGGCGTGGATGTAGGTGTTTGCCCTGAAATCAAAAGGTTGACGGTTCAAGTCCAGACTCTGGCATTTAGTGTTGTTGTATCCTTGGACAAGACACTTCACCTACATCAGAGGGCACGGTGGTGCCAGTGTATGCCACCACCAGTGCCCCAGGGCAACTACAATGTATTTTTTATATATACTCTAATAATCCCAGAGGGAAATTACTTCTCTGCAGTTAACCCATCCCCAAAGCCCTATGCCTTAACCACCTAGGCCGCCACTCCCCTCTTTGCCATCATAAGTGTGTAAATGACTGTATGTAGTGTGAAGTACTTTGGTCAAGTCTCTTAATTTGAAAAAGCGCCACATCATTTATTTGAAAATGTAGCATAATATGGGACCTTTAAACCCTTGTATTTAATCCAATCAGAGGCAGCTGGTGGAGTTTTCACCAGAGAAACCTTGCCTTTACCTCTGTTGTTGAAATATTTCAAATTCTATTAATTTCTTCCTTCGTATATTGATGTATGCTATTTTCTCTCTAGAAAAATGTTTTAAATTCCGTTTATTTTACCTGCAAGGCCACAAAATACCTCGCTGAGTGTTGTATATACATCACATACCTACTCCCATAGTAAACCAAATACTTTCTTAAGGTCTATTCATAACATGTTAGTGTGTAACTAAAGTGTCTGTAATTTCTTTTGACTCTTTCTTATAAGTAAGGGAATGACTGTCAAAGACTGAACAGGGCAGACCATCGTGCTGGTGTGACATTGTGAATGTCTGGTTCCAGAGATGTGAAGTAACGAAGTACAAATACTTCGTTACTGTACTCAAGTAGATTTTTCTGAGATTTTTTGATACTTTACTTTACTACTTATTTTTATGGCGACATTTTACTTCTACTCCTTACATTTTTACACAAATATCTGTACTTTCTACTCCTTACATTTAAAAAAAAATTGGCTTGCTACTTTAGTTTAGAATCATTTCAATGGAGTTACCGTTATTATTTTTCACGTCATCAATACAAAATTCAATCTAATTGGATGGGAATCTACGTTGCATTTGACGCACCACTACAAGATGAATCAACAGATTCGGCGGTCTTCATTCGCGGCAAATCATTGCAGCTTGGTGGCGGTGGCGTTAGCATAGTAGCATGGACGACGAGATGATTGAAAATGAACACAACGGAGATCTAGTCCTATTGGCAGACATCCATTTAAAATGTAGGCAACGGCATGAAAAAAGTGGTTTCTACTTTTACTTTTATACTTTAAGTACATTTACAAGCCTGTACTTTGTTACTTTTACTTGAGTAAAGAAGTTTAATCAGTACTTCCACTTTTACCAGAGTATTTTTTAATACAAGTATCCGTACTTTTACTCAAGTACGGAAAGTGAGTACTTTTGCCATCTCTGCTGGTTCTCATTTACTTTGCAAAGTAAATAAAGTGCCGGCTGGGTAAAATCCATTGATCTCTTCGTTTATTAAACTGGACTGTATAGTTGAAATCGTTTTTTCACACGATACCTCACATGAACTTTCATTCCCCTTTGAATTCATGCTCACTCTAATGATGGGAGCTTGAAGGCAGCAAGTCTTAAAACACAGGGCAACAACAGCTGCACAAACATAACAGAGAAGATAGCCGAAACATGTCATCATTGGGGTCACCCTCCTACCTGCAGAGTCAGAGGTTTATATGTTAAAAGTGTTTGAAGTCCGGGACGGAGGTGGGGTCTACTTTGTGCAAGCATCATACTGGTTGTATAAAAGCAGGTGGTGGTTCAGATGCATAAATGTGTTCTTGGTTTCCTGCTTATTGCCATCGGTGTTTGATCAGGAAAATGTTTGTCGTGTTATTGGTCTTGGCGTGTCTGACCGCCATCAGCAGTGCGGACCACCACCACCACCACCAGCCTTGTCGTAAGATACTCCACACTTCTGTTAAATCTCTCAAGTATTTTGTGTTCTTATTAGATGCGTTTTGTTTTATTAATGCTGTTAAAAGTTGATTTCTTAAATTTCCCCATGTGGTTTGGGCGTGGAATCATCTTTTCTTTTCTTTCAGATTCGCCGAACATGACTGGATTAATGAATGTGGTGAGTCTTTATCTGTATTGTAATTTAAAAGAAAGGAATTTCAGACGGCTTAATTTTCTGCTTTGAATTATAAGATCACCACAAAGGGTGAAACAAGAGCAGTCGGTGCCTTTACTTACGATTCAGTGGGCGAGAAACTAAGGTTCACATCCAACGAGAGCCATCCCACAGATTCCTCACGTGGTCTGGACCTGCTGATGTTTTTCAAGGAGGTAACTTGTTCTTTTATTCTCAGTTTTAAGGAAGATCACATTGTTATTTTTATTTGAAGTGAATGTGTCCGTAACCCTCCTAACCCCCTAACCCCCACACAGGATATCTTTTATGAGATTGACGGTAAAACCCAGAGCTGTACGAAGAACAAGCTTCACATATCATGGCATCCTCTTGATATTCCCAATGATGCAAAGTTTTACACGGCAATGACCATGGGGAGCTCTTCTGTTGAAGACGAGAGGCTGAAGATCAATGTTTGGGGCGGGGACCTGCCCAATACTAAAGGTGGGTTGGATGCAAAAAAGACCCGTTTCCATACAACCTTATCAATTCAGTGAAAAACAAATGTGTTTTCTGGTTCCTGTCAGCTTCCTATTGGACGTCTGCAACCATGGGATGTTTGCCAGTGTCCACTTTCTATTTCACTGATACCACATCATTCCTCTTCGGGTTAGTTTCGAGTGGTTTTTATGGGCATCTATAAACAGGATGTAATAGGTAACTTTACCAAATTTCCATGTAATTTCTACTTTTATTTTTCAGCCTCACGGACATTGAGCCTGAAGTCAAGGATCCTGACCTCCTCACTCTGCCCTCTTTCTGTCATGGAAAGTCTGTGGAAGACACCCCTGAGGGGACGGTTAACAGCTTCGTGAATGAATTCATGTAGATCAGATCTGCCAGTCAGCAATAAAATTCAAAGCATGAACTGTTGACTGTTTTTCTTCAAACCATCTGGTTTTACCACATCTTTCTCTCATTGGAGAAAAGAACTCGCAGTGGCCTGTTCAGATTCTATAAATCGGTTTCATTGTCAGATAAAGGTACACGCATTGCATAACTGATTTTAAAATATGTGGAGATTTTCTATCAGCAAAGGTCTAGTTTGAGGGAAAAATATCAGACTTGACCTCCTTTCATGGGATTTAATTTTAAGAGAGAACCTATAGATTTGTTGCTGTAGTGATTTGTTTGGTTCTTGGGAAAATTAAGTTTTCCTGACAGCAGTATTAGAAGCTTAAAGTTTTACCTGCATGTGTAAAATGAGCAT